GCGCCTGCGGTGCCAAGTGACGGAGAACGCCGTCCCGACCCACCTCGCCCCTCCGATCGGAGCAGGGTTGGAGGTCGTGATGAGGGGGTCCGCTTAGGAGTCGGACAGAGAGCGATGTGCGTTCGCCCCTTCTCCCCCGCCTGCCCCTCACACCTCCCACAGTAGCGCCAGGGTCCGGAGCGCCCCGTGGCACGTCCATTATGAGCACATTTTGCAGACGCGGCGAACTGAGGCCCAGAGACACCGGCCAGGCCGGGCGCGAGGCGTGGGCACCGGGCCGGGCTGGTTGTCGGCGCGGGAGAGCGTCGGGCCGCTCTCCTGGATGCCAGGGGAATGGCGGTTCCGTGGGGGCAGCTGCACGGCCCTCGCGAGCACCGCGCTCGCAGCACAGTGGGCACGCTGTTAGGGACGCGTAACTGTTACCGGGCCCTTCTCACTTGCTAACCTCTCTGGGGTCCCCTGCCCCATCCCACTTGTAAAAGTGGGGGAAGGTGAGAAAGAAGCGCGTGATAGGAGACAGAGCACCAGCCTGCTGGGTGGTTAAGGGTGCTGGACTCCCAAATGGCTGACCCTGGTTCGAGCCCTGAACCTGGCAGCTTGCTTTCTCACTCCCCCGCCCCCCATCTCTCTCTCACTCTCACTCTGTCCCTCTCTGGTCAAATTTAAATAAATAAAGTTAAATAAAATAATTCTTAAAAAATAAAAAGTGCACCAGCTTGCAAATCACTGTTGAACCATATATATAGAGAGAGCGCACATTAGGCCAAGAGAGAGATGTCACAGGTTCCTGTCCCGCCTCTGCCTCTTCAGGATTACACACTCCCAGGCTCCACACACACAGCGGGAAGGAAGGGGTGGCAAGGTACCTGGCCAGCCCAGGTGCTTAAAGGCACCTACCTCCTCACTCGGTGTGTATGTATGTGTGTGTGTGTATATGTATATGTGTGTACATATATATGCATGTGTGTACACACACACACACACACACGCACACTTTGTTTTTTTTTTAACCAGAGAACAAATGTCATCTCTGGAGAGAAACAGAGGCAAGGAAAACAAGAAAACACCCCCCAGCGCTCCAACGGGGACATGGTGACACTGTAATCCCTTCTCCACTTCTCCCCTTTCAGGACTTTGGGCACGTTAGGCACATGCACCCGGCATATTTTTCAAGCCTCTGAGTCTGGGACTCAGACTGTGCAATTGGCCATGTGTGGCTCAGCTCTCTCACCTTCCAGGCCACAGGTTAGTCCTAACTTTTTTTTTTTTTTTTTTTGGTGGGGAGAGGCTTTTGCTATAGGACAGGAGCACTTGCCAGAAAGACAGAGAGATAGCAGAAAGCCAGAGATCGCGCCCCAGGGGGAATGGCAACGCCACAATTCCTTCTCCTCCATTCTCCTCTTGGGATCTTGGGCACGCACGCACACGCGCCCGGCATGAGTGTAAGCCACTGGGTCTGGGACTCGAACCGCAGTCAGCTACATGGGAGTCCAGTGACATAGCCATTATGCCAACTGCTGGTCCCATAAGTAAATTTTTTTAAAGAATTATTTAATTTTATTCATTCATTTGTTTTATTTTTTAGTTTGACCAGAAAGACACACAGAGAGAGAGAGAGTGAGAGAGAGAGGGAAAGTGAGAAAGCAAGCCACCAGGTCCGAGACTCAAACCATAGTCGGCCATGTGGGAGTCCAGCGCCTTTATCCACCACGTCACCTGCCAGCCCCAATAAGTAACTCTCACAAAAAAAAAAAAAAAAGACATAAGATGAAAAGTAAATTAAAAAGAGGGCCCAGAACAGAGCCCTGGAGAATGCCAATACCTCGAGTCCAGGTGGGTGAGAGAGAGGCTTCAAGTAAGACAGAACTGCCAGAGAGACAGGAGGAAAACCAAGTGGAACCCAGAAAGAGGCAGAGTTTCAAAATGGACATTTGTCACCTATGTCAAATGTATGTCAAATGCCTCTGAGAAGATAGCCTGACCTGACATCAGAGAAGCTATATGGAACTTGACCAAAGTAGTGCCTTTCTAAAAATTTATTTATTTATTCATTTATTTTAATTTGACCAGAGAGAGAAAGAGGGAAAGCAAGAAAGCAAGCCACCAGGTCCAGGACTTGAACCATGGTCAGCCATGTGGGAGTGTCCAGTGCCTTAACCACCACACCAACTGCTGGCCCCAGAAGTGCCTTTTTTTTAGAGAGAGATTTTTGCTATAGGGCGCATGTGCTCGCTGAAGAGAAAGACAGCAGGAAATCACCCCCCACAATCCCCCCCATGGCCATCTCCACTCTCCCCTCAGGATCTTGGGGCATGCACACACACGTGCCTGGCATGAGTTTCAGTCTGCTGGGTCCAGCATTCAGACGCAGCGATGTGTGTCCAGCACCTTAACCACTACGCCACCTGCTGGACCCAACCAAAATCGTTTCAATGGAGTGTGGGGACACAGGAGAAGCGAGGAGCAGCAGTCTGGAGGTGGGGTGTGCAGATAAATCTCTGTAGGGGTGGAATCACACCGTGGCAGGGGACGGAGGAGTAAGTTCAAGGGATTCATTTGTATAGTATGGAGACAGAAGAGCAGCTTTGTGTCACTATTGAGAATGACCCAGTCAAAAGTGAGGGATCAATGATCCAGAACAAGGGACAGCGACTCACAGAGGAAAGGCCTGGAAAAGGGAGGGGTGTATAAAGTCAGTGTGTAAGGAATGACTCGGACAGCCATCAAAGGTACCCTGGCTGCATCCTGAGACCCAGGCCCCCAGCTCCACAGCAGAAGGAATGGCCAGGCCACACTGTTCCAGGGTGGTCACTGTTGCTTAGCAACCTGTGTTTAACAAGACCTTTTAACTGAATTGCTAATTAACAGCTATTTCAGCTTAAAGCTAACTGTCACTGGAGTCCCTCTCTGGTTCTTTCTCCCCACCCCCCAAAGTCTGGTACTTCCCAACTGTAACACTGGAAAGCTCAGTTTTCTACATTCTTGTATTAATAATATATTCACGTAGATGTGAAAAATAACACTTCACAGTAAAACGTACATTAGCATTAGGGATTCTCGTTCCATCTTAGAGACAATACTAGAAATTACAGCGTTTTCATCTCTAGTTCAGGGAGAACAGCAGGTGGCGTGGTGGTTAAGGCGCTGGACACTCCCACATGGCTGACCACAGTTCAAGTCCTGGACCTGGTGGCTTGAGTTTCCACTTTCTCTCTCTCTCACTCTGTCTCTCTCTGGTCAAATAAATGAATGAATAAATAAAGTTAAATAATTTTTTAAAAAGAAAGAGGAAAAAAAAGAGAGAAATCACTCCCCAGGGGGGATGGCCATGCCACAATCTCTTCTCCATTCTCCTCTCAGGATCTTGGGCATGCATGCACACGCGCCCGGCGTGAGTTTAAGCCACTGGGTCCAAGACTTGAACTACAATCGACTACATGGGAGTCCAGCAATGTAGGCATTATGCCATCTGCTGGTCCCACCACAGAATTTTTCAACTTGAATGAGGTCCACCTTGTTTGATGAGGAAGAAGGGGCCCAGAGATGGAAAGCCTAGGTCTCCTCATGGGCCTAGAATCCTGATAGTGGACAACAACAACAACAACAAAAACACTAATAATGGAATAAAACAAAACCAGAGGGTCAGCACGTAGAGGTTAAGGCAGCTGGATCCCACATGGCCAACTGCACAGAGTCCCAGACACAGCAGCTTGAAAATTACTCTGGGAGGACTAGCCAGTGGTGTAACGTTTACGTTGCTGGACTCCCACATGGTCAACTATGGTTCAAGTTCCAGATCCGGAGGCTTGAAACTCACACCAGGCATGTATGTGTGCATATTCAAAATCCTGAGAGGAGAATGGAGAAGGGATTGTGGTGCGGCTGTCCCCTCCCGGGCGGGGGGAGTGATTTCTCACTTTCTGTCTCTGTCTCTCTGGTGAGCACACACGCCCTATAGCAAAAGTCTCTCTAAAAGTAAAAATAGAAAATTACACTGGGTGCATATATGTGTGCATACCCAAAATTCCAAGACTGGAGAAGGAATGGTGGTGTGGCCATCTCACTCTCTTCCTCTTCCTCTCTCTCTCCCCATGAGCACGCATGCCCTATAGCAAACTAAAAACAAACAGAACAAAACGGAGCGTTCACAGTGGTCAGATTAGCAGGTTACCGGTCCAGGGCCCTGCCTTCAGGAAGCAGCCTGTTGTACTCCCTGGAAGTCTGTTTCTAGCTGTTTGGTCTTTGAGCATCCACTGTATACTAAGCTCTGTTCTCACCTCTGGAAGTACAGAAGTGACAGCGTAAGTTCACCCCCCCACCTCGTGGGACTTACATTGTAGTGATGAGGGGTAGACAGAAAAGGAGGAAACAAATGAGCAAAATAATTTCAGATAAAAACAAGTGCTTCGAAGGATTATAAAATGGGTAAAGGGATGCAGAATAAGGAGAGGGAGTGGCCACTTTAGATAAGGTCCCTGACAAAGGGACGTGAACTGCAATCTGAAAAATGAAGAGCTGGCCATGAGAATCAGGAGAAAAATGATTTAGTAAGTGTAAAGGCAACAGGCATGACACAGCAAGTGCAAAGGCCCCGAGGCCAACTCAAAGAGAAACAAGAAGGGGAGAGCGGGTGGCTACAATGAAAGGTGGGAGAGGGTTGAGGAGATTGAGGGCCGCCAGTGGTGCAGTGCTTAAGGCAGCTGAATCTCACGTGGCCAGCTGAGTGGTTCAAGTCTCAGGCCTGGTGGCTTGAGAAACACACTGGCACGTGTGCATGTGTGCCCAGAATCCCCCGAGGATAATGGAGAAGGAATTTCGGTGTGGCCATCCACTCTGAGGGGGTGAGTTCTCACTTTCCCTCTCTCAGGTGAGCATATGCTCATCTATATAAAACATTTTTTTAAATGCCCTATATCGACAATTAAAAAAAAGAGAGAGATTGGGGAGAAGTTGGGGTAGGCCATTTAGGATGTCATGGAATGTTTGGATTTTATTTTAAGGGCATGGAAAGCAAAAATTTTTTTAATAATTATTTTATTTAACTTTATTTATTTATTTTAATTTGACCATAGAGAGACAGAGAAAGAGAGAGAGAAAGAGAGAAAGTGAGCTGCCAGGTCTAGGACTCAAGACACAGTCAGCCATATGCGAGTCCAGTGCCCTTAAACACCACACCACCTGCTGGCCCCAAATTTTGTTTATTTTTTATTTATCGAGAGAGAGAAACAAGGTCTCATCACGCCATGATATCTACCTCCCAGTCTTCCAGCCAGCTATGACTCATGATGTTCAGGTCCACCCGAGACCTGAGTCTGGCCTTCCTATATGGTGGCTGAAGCTATTAGAGTGTTATGTTTTGTTTTGTTTTTAATGCAGGAAATTTTTGCTATAGGTCACATGCTCTCACCAGAGAGAGAGAAACAGAGACAGTGAGAGGAAAGTGAGAAATCACCTCTAGGAGGAATGGCCACGCTGCAATCCCTTCTCTTCCATTCTCCTCCTAGAATCTTGGGCACACGTGCACACGCACCCAGGATGAATTTCAAGTCACTGGGTCCAAAACTCAAACCTTGGTCGGCTATGTGGTAGTACAGGGCTGTAAACTATGCCATCTGCTGGCCCCAGGAGTTTTAAAAATTTTTATTATTATTAATTTGCTATAGGGCACTTGAGCTCACAAGGAAGAGAGAGAGAGACAGAAGAGAGAGAGAGAGTGTGTGTGAAAAAGCAAAGCAAGCCTCCAGGTCCAGGACCTGAACCGCAGTCAGCCACATGGGAGTTTACTGTGTTAACCACGCCACCTGCCAGTCCCAAGGATATATTTTAAAAGTAGAATAACTCACATTTTTTTTTTTGGAGGGGTTTTTGTTATAGGGCACCAGAAAGACAGAGAGAGACAGAGATAGAAAGCGAAAAATAACCCCCTAGAGGGGATGAACACGCCACAATTCCTTCTCCTCCATTCTCCTCTCAGGAACTTGGGTACGCATGCACACACGCCTGGCGTGAGTTTAAGCCACCGGATCAGGGACTCGAACCACGGTCAACTACATGGGAGTCCAGCAACATAGCCATTTCACAACTCACATGTTTTGACAGCATGAATATGAAGTTTAGGGTAGAAGAAAAAAGAAAAAGAAAAAAGAAAAACATCTATGTGGTGGACCTCATATTTGGAATGTATGTTACATATATTCACCCTCCATTACATTTAGAGTCTCACTTAGTGGGGACACTCATAGCATAGGGAGATTTTAGAGTACATCTTAAATTTCAATCCTGGGTGATCTTGGAAAGCTCATCGCCAGAAGAGCCAATGTTTCCCTTTCTTTAAAGTGGCTATTGGGGGCCAGCAGGTGTTGTAAAAGTTAAGGCACTGGATTCCACAGGGCCAATAGAGCAGTTCGAGTCCTGCACTTGGCAGCTTGAGAATCATGTGGAGCGCTTGTGTGTTCATACCCGAAATCCCAAGAAGAGAATGGAGGAGAAGGGATTGAGGAGTGGCCATTCCCCCTGGGGGATGATAACTCACTTTCCCTATCTCTCTCGCTCTGTCTCTCTCTGGCGAGCACACTTACAGCAAAAACTTAGGCAAAAATAAAAAACAAAACAAAAACAAAACAGTCTATTGGATGTGTACCTATTGGAAAAGATGCTCCTAAAGCTCCACAACACCGCCTAGAACTCAAGGTGTGTGAAGAGGTTGTAGGAGATCCGAATGGGATGGAGAGCCACATATTCGAGGTTTTATTCATGAGGGGGATGATGAAGGGGGAGTACAGTTCCTTGATAGCATTATGCATGAGTATTCCCATTTCTGACTGAACTGGAAATAAGTCTCTCTGTAGACATCCAGGTGCGAGAGTGCCTTAAATCTCTAACTGGGGCGAGAGCAAGGTGCTCAATAATCAGTCAGTGAAGAATTAGGTCAGAGTGAAGGGCTGGCTTCAGAGAACAATCAACACGTGGCTCTCCAGGGCCCGCGCCCCGGGAAATTTCCGTGTCGCTATGGCAACGATCCCAGACGCACGCCCAGAGGGGAACTACAAGACCCACAACCGCCCGCGGCTTTCCCGCCGCCACGGGGCGGAGAGGCGCGGGAGGGCGCGGAACCGGCTTTTCCTCTTTCCTGCACCGTGATTGGCCCACGGCTCAGAGACGCGGCCAATGAGGGCTCTCGGGG